ATTTGAACAGCCGAACTGCAGAACTACAGTCAGCTGAAGTTGCCTGCAGTGCTGCATTTAACCACTGCGCCACCTCGGCTAGGTGAGGACTATCTGCATGGCCACCTGTTTTTGGCTGAAAAGGATTCAGAACTTGACAGCAATTTAGGAAATATCTGGGCTTTGATATGAAAACCATGGAGTATCCTACACCTTCAAAGCTGATCTGGTCATAGTGCTTTTGTTTACTCCTGTTTCCCAACATATAGGCAACCCTGAAAAAGTATCAAGCAGAACATCGTACCAAAGCTGAATCAATCGAAAAGTGTCAGACTGAGCTGAAGAAACTGCGAAAGAAATGCCAGAGTAGCAAAAACCCACTGAAGTATGGAGATCGTGAAGTGCAGGTACGTTTGATGGGGAAGGGAAGGGAGAATGACATTGCAAGGGGAAATATTAAGAAAACAATGCGAACATTGAGAACTTCTGGAGGAGATCAAGGTCATATCCTGTCAGATGTGTGGGATTCAGGTCATTGGTAAATCAGCCAGACTTCACCAGTTCAATGAACATGTTTATATATAAGCTGTACATAAAAGATTACAGGCCAGACTCCCTTCTGCTGAGTTCAACAAATGATCTACCCAACCAGGCAGATTTATCAACTTTGCACAGAACTGACTCCTCAAACTAATGTTATGGTTTTTTTTTTTACAAAAGCTTCTATATTAATTTTTCTTTAAGCAGGTTTGTTACTGGATTTGTTTTGTTGTGTTTCTGGCATGGTTCCAAACAACTCAAGTCCTGGTAGTGGGCTGCAGCCCGAAGGCTGGATAGCTAGCTGGGGAGTTCTGGGAATTGAAGTCCACATGTCTTAAAAAGTGGCTGAGGTTGAGAAATACCGATTTACAGTCACAAATGGCTGCATTCATAGAATACACTGGACCAAATCCAACCCAAACACATTTGTTGTGCAGTGGGATTTGTGTGAATCAGGCCAACTGAAAGCACTGTTTTTGATGCATAATTGTTAGTGCGGCAGACTCCAGCCTGGTTTTATTTATTCCATACCATTTTCCTTTGTATAGGTAAGCTCACTTCCCTTATGCATCACGCATGTAACATATTTCCCTGCACAACACAAGAGCAACCACTAATATGCATCAGCAGTGAGGAAATGCATGACATAGTTGCATAAAGCTACACCTACTTCAACCTGTCAATCAACAGATGTGTTGCTTTCAGTCCTCATAACCATCATGCAACAAGGCCATGCTGCTTAACAACTACAAGATGTGTCCAGCACCTCTGGAGAACACCAAATTGCAATACCCTAAGCAATTCTACAAATGGCATGTATAGAGGATGGTGGTTTACAGTGGCCATTGTAGTTCTACTTATAGGAATAGCTTAGGTGTGCGTGATTACGCTAACAACTTACAAGAGGAAGTGGGTTGACTCTGAAAATAAATTGGCAGAGTGAGTTGAATAACCACAGATGCTAAATAAATTTAGTCATCAGATGCTAAAATTCAGGCAGCGCATAAGCACATTTCCTCCAAAAATATACTTTTAATAATTTGGCTAGTACAAAGAATATCAGGTTTTTTGTATCTTGTATCTAGTTAAGACATCTTACAAAGATGTGCTGCATTTTTAAAATCTGACAAAGTTTAAGGCCTGCGTTGTTTTGTGGAACTAAGAATGCAAATTGATGCAATCTGGATGCAAAAAATGGTATGGGGGGAAATGCTTGGAAGATTGGGTTTCTGCAGTCCTTCAGAGCGGCCTCTTACTCTCAATTGTGCATTAAGAGTTTCTGTCTTCTAGAGTACAAAAATGAAACCTGGCAGCTGTTGCCCCCTCCCCTTCCCATGTGTGTCTGGGTCACTGCCTTCTCCTTGGGTTGCTGTCTGGTGTTGAGATTGGGGTCACTAAGAAGGTGAGGTCTTGAAAAGGTTTAATATTCTGTAGCCATTTGGAGCTTAAAGAGATAAGCTCTGTGGAGGGGCTACCTGTGAAAAAGGGGGGGGGGAAATCACCCTGATGCACAGATTGTTTTACACACCTGCCCACAAAACGTACACACAGTATGATGTCCATGAACAGGCCCTGTTCTTGTGCAAAACACCTACAGGCCTTGTTCTTGTGCAAAACACAGACACTGTTCTTGTGCAAAACATTTGCAGGCCCTGTTCCCATGCAGAACACTTATAGGACCTGTTCTTATGCAGAACATTTATAGAACCCTATTTCTACGTGTATTTGCCTTGCTGGAGCCCTGTCTATAGTGTTCCTTTTGCATCACTTTTTCTCATGCACAATAACACCTCGACTGTTCCCCTTTGAGCCTTAAAGGGGGTGCAGTCCTAAAGGGGTGGGTGGAATCAAAAAGCAAGCCAGAAATCCACTTTACTATACAGTATTGCACCAGAAAGTAGGCCACTCACCAGTGTGGTCTTGTATTTGCCGGGTGTGCCCAAGCTGGCAAGCTGACACAACTCATCCTGCATTCACACTGCTTCCTCCTGGCTCCCTGACTCACTCTGGGCTAGTGCCTTGCATCCCCTATTTATCTTCCTTCCTCCCCTCCCCGTCCTGGGAATCCCCACAGCAAGCTTTGGGCTCCTTTTGTCAACCTTGTTGCCACAGTAACCATTACTTCAGGATCAAGGCCTGCTGCAGCTGGGGAGGGGGGCAGTAAGGAAGGGGCACAGGATAACCCTTTCTTGCCCGTATCTTCTGAGATTGCCCACTGCCTGCCAGCCTAAGGTGCCAATAATGGAAAATCTAGCACATAGCGTCAATGGAGTATCCAGCACTTAACACATTTTCTTCCTTTTTTGTGCGATTGCGATGATACAAGCTGGATAAAAGGATTGACGTTCCATGAAAACTTTTAGGGTGTCTCTTCCAAGAATGCCTTTTAAAATGTTTAAGGATGGTACCAATAAAGGAGGTAATATCTATCTAAATATGTGCTCTTGATGCTCCAGAGTGCATTGATGATGTTACCTAGTTTGGGTAATAAACATCTGCAAGAAAACAAGCTCAGAGAGCACAGAGTACTCCTCATTTAAGGAGGGGAGTCTTGCGGTTCCACCACAAATGCGCGTACGACAAAAGCGCGTGTGACTAAAGCGCGGTGACAAAACCGCGCCGTCAAAACCGCAGAGACGAATGAGCACTGNCGAGCTGCAGGGATTAACTTAACTGCAGCAAGAAAGGTTTTAAAATGAGGCAAACCGCACTTAACAAATGTCTCACTTAACAACAGAAATGCTGGGCTCAGTTGTGGTTGTAAGTCAAGTACTATCTGTACTTGGGTTATGTATTATAATACATAACCCAATATATTATTAGCTCTGTTATAGTACTGCTTAGGACCCAATTAGAAAGTTGAAACACAAGATGTGTCTGAATATGCCTGGAAACTTGCTGTAGTATGAACAGCAAATATGCCAACAAGGAACTGCTGTAGCCTCTTATTCAAATCTTTTGTCTATTTTTGAAGTTTGCTATGTGAAATGGGTTCACACACAATCATACAATCATGCATAGACACACAAAATCATATTCTCCTCACTTCTGCATCTTTTCCATATTTCTGATCAATGTATTTCTCTCCACATAACCCGTATTTTCTTTTCTTTCACATATATTTACAGTGACTAAAGAAGAGTTACGTCTTTACTAGATTTACTTGCCCAAAACTCACCTTTGTTATTTGGGTTATTTAACTTTTATCATACAAATAATAATCAAATCTTTCATATTCATGTGAAAAATAGGGAAATTAAACTGTATTTATAAAATAAATGCACATATAGTTTGATTTTAGATACTACGATATGTGCTTTTTGTAAAGTTTTGCTTGGTTTTGCTGTTAAATTTTCGTTTGTAAAGCAAAGTTATAAACATAAACAATTACATTTTTGTCCTTATGAACCTTTTTTAAGATATGTCACTTTTTTAGGTTCATCCTTTGTTGTTTCAAACAAAATACATATATTGGATCTTTTTTTTCCAAAAAGCTACATCCGCTTTCAAGCTCAGAGGTTGCTAAAGATGATCTTGCCAAAGTTTATGTACTTTTAAATTCATGTTAGATTGTATTGGGAAAATAAAAACACACCTTAGATCTATAGAGATTCTCAGTCATCCAGGTCATGGTTGTCCCAAAGGTGCTTTTTCAAAAAGCAACTGGACTTTCTCTGTTTTTCCTTGAAGATGCTTTGCTTCTCATTCAAGAAACTTCTTCAGTACTAACTGAATAGTGGAAAATGGAAGGATTTTTATCTGTATTCCTTGCAGGCAAGGAATGTAAGTTCTTCCATTCTCTACCATTCAGTCAGAACTGAAGAAGCTTTTTGGATGAGAAGTGAAATGTCTTCAAGGAAAAACAAAAGAAAGTCCAGTTGCCTTTTGAAAAAGCATCTTTGGGAGAATACATTTCAGGTTTTCTCTGGAGATTGTGGAGGTGCTTAGTTTTGTATCAGGCTAGAATATTTTATGTTTTATTTTCTTCCCTATTCTGACAAGGTGATCCTGGACCAGTTCAATCCAAGTTTAAGGAATTTTGTTACCATGGGGAAAAGTTATCAAAAAGCCCTGTCAGGTAAGGGAATACCCCATTCTAACTCACTGACGTTGAATCAGGTCAACATTGGTCCTATGAAGGAGAAACATCTGTATTCAGATCTCATTATTTGATGTCTGTTCTCTCCCACTGTCCATCTTTACAGGGGTTTCTGTTGCTGCCAAGGGCTACTTTGATGGCTTGGTGAAACTTGGTGAGTTGGCCAGTGACAGCCAAGGATCCAAAGAGCTGGGTAGGTTTCCCGATTGATCTTTTTTGTCTCTTCCAAAACCACAATCCACATTACCACTTGTGGCACACTTCCTGTAGATAATTCTTTATGGATTTGCCATAATGTTCTAGCAAAAGACAAACAGGAGAATTTAGGTTTTCTGTGGTGATGTTATCTGTTCAGCTGAGTCGGGTGCTTGGAGATTCTGTGGGCCAGGTCTGAACACATCTTCCCATCTTGCACTATTTCTTTGCTGTGGCTGGTGTCAGCTTTGATAATGTCCAGCTGCTGTTTTTCTTTGTTGGCCTGGTTTCTTTTTACCCCTAAATTCTAAATTTATTTTTCTGTAGGAGCGTCACAAAGTACAACACAAATAACTTTCCCTAATCTGAAGTCCCTTATCTGGGACTTCAACTCCTAGAATTCTTAGCCGGTATTGACACAGAAAATGTACTGGCAGTGTATTGGGGGAGGGGGGTTAAACAGCTTTGGACAGAATTGGTCAATCAGGCTACATATCTAGGCTACAAAATTCCAAGCAGGGAGTAAGTGGGAAGAAATAAAGATAGTCCTCAACTTACAAGCATTTTTCATAC